AACCCTTAATAAGTTTTTGAATGCAGTATTATATTACTGGTTTCAGAGTAACAGCCGTGTTAGTCTGTATCCGCAAAAAGAAGAACAGGAGTACTTGTGGCACCTTAGAGACTAACAAATTTATTAGAGCATAAGCTTTCGTGGACTACAGCACACTTCTTCGGATGCATATAGAATGGAACATATATTGAGGAGATATATATACACACATACAGAGAGCATAAACAGGTGGGAGTTGTCTTACCAACTCTGAGAGGCCAATTAATTAAGAGAAAAAAAACTTTTGAAGTGATAATCAAGCTAGCCCAGTACAGACAGTTTGATAAGAAGTGTGAGAATACTTACAAGGGGAGATAGATTCAATGTTTGTAGAATTGATATGCAAACTAGACACAATCAACTCCGGTTTGAATAAGGACTGGGAATGGCTGAGCCACAAGTACTTCTGTTCTTCTTTTTATTGTTAAGTGATTTCTCTCTCTAGCAGTTTAACACAGAAGAAGAGAACGAGGAGTACTTGTGGCACCTTAGAGACTAACAAATTTATTTGAGCATAAGCTTTCGTGGGCTAAAACCCACTTCATCGGATGCATGCAGTGGAAAATACAGTAGGAAGATATTTATATATACACACACACACACACACACAGGGGACATAGAAAAAAATGGGTGTTGTCATACTAACTATAACGAGAGTAATCAGTTAAGGTGGGCTATTATCAGCAGGAGAAAAAAACCTTTTGTAGTGATAATCAGGATGGCCAATTTCCAAGAGGTGAGAAGAGGTTACTCACCCTATGGGTGTTCCACTCTTGGTGCATGTGCCTTGATTGGAGATTTTCATTAGCAGTGTCCATTCAGCCCACGCATGCACCAGTGGTATCCTTTTGCCTTGCACCAAGGCCGTATGGGAAACCACTCTCTTAGTTCCTTCTGCACTATTGAATCTCGGAGGAAATTCCAAAGAAGAGGGGAAAGAGGGTAGGTACTGAAGCACTTGCAGGAACACACATCTAGAAGAACCACAGTTACTGCACAGGTGAGTAACCTTCGAGTAGTGTCCCTATGAGTGCTCCATTCTTGGTGACTCCTGAGTAGTGTCCCCAGTAGGAGGGGGACTTTGGAATGGAGTCCATCACAGAAGAGAGAACTGCATTGCCAACTGCAGCATCATATCTGGAGACATTGACCAGGGCAGTGTCTAGAGAAGGTATGTAGTAAAGACCATGTAGTAACTCTGCAGATTTCTGAAATGGAACATTTCTAAGGAAAGCCATAGATGTAGATCATGCTCTAGTCGAGTGCACCAAAAAGCTGATGAAACATCGACAACCTGGTAGGAAACTATAA